TGCACAATTCCAAATCTCCCACTGTCTTGCTCAAACAGGGTGTTCCCCAGGGCTCAGTTCTCGGATTCTTTTATTACTTGACCTCAGCTCAGCTTTTGATACTGTTTGTCATAAGATATTATTATCTCGCCTTGCAGAGGTTGGCATCTCAGGTTCTGCATTATCCTGGTTCTCCTCATATCTCACAGATAGGCAATACTTCATCTCACTGCACAATTCCAAATCTCCCACTGTCTCGCTCAAACAGGGTGTTCCCCAGGGTTCAATTCTCGGACCATTATTATTCATCCTCTACATTCAGCCTCTTGGCCAAATAATTCGTCGTCATGGTTTTAACTACCACTGTTATGCCGATGACATTATTATTATTATCATTCTGACCTATTTTAATAATCAAATCTTTTTTTTTTTAAGTAACTTTTTTGCTCAGACAAGTTAATGACTGATTTTCATGTGAAGGCTTAATATCGAGCCCTGCAAATACTACTCAAAATCGAATAGTCCTACTTACTTAAACTTGGATATGTTATAACTCAAACCATTTGAGGTAACTGATTACCTCAAATTGTTTGAGTTTCGCAAACTTATTTGGTTTATAGTGTAAAACACAGAAAGCGGTTCTGGATTCCCGACCATAGTCATTTTGTCTTAAACACAGAGCTGTAAACGGCACATCAGATTTATCAGCTGCTCAGAAACTGAGCCTGTGTGCCACTGTGGAGAGCTGTTCAAAGTTCATCTGTTATAGTGTCATATATAAAGACGCTGTGGCTGTTGATGCACCTTTCCTCTCTGATTGAGGAGGCACTTTAATGACTGTGCTTAGCATTTGTCTAAAAAACCCTGCAGGAAGCTTTCATTTAGGTGGGAAATGAGCGCTCTCGCCTTTGGCTGATGTCGGCAATAACACCTAGCTTTGATGGATCAATAGTTTGCAAATCCCGGGCAAGTCAATTACTTGCGAGGAGAGGCTATTTTTGGGTGAGAGGGGAACACAAAGAGTCATTACAGAGATAATGTCATGTCAACCCTATCCAGCAGGAGGGCTGCCATGGGCAATGGATATGTCATCCGTCTGTCTGCATCCCTGCCTCAGAGACTATCGCGCGCGCGCGTGCGTGCGTGCGTGCGTGTGTGTGCGTGTGTGTGTGTGTGTCTAGGTGGTAAACAATCTCAAACCAGACCTCTTCTGCTGGGGAAAATCAACATGGTGCCAGGAAAAGGAAAGTGTTTTTATTGCTGGAGGCTAAAAATGAGAATCACAACGACGAGGCATCTGCTGAATCCTGAAAGGGAGATGCTAGGTTTTATATTTGCTGTAAAATTTGGAGCTGTTTTTTGGGTTTAGGGTTTGAGGGCTGAGGCAGTGCATGGATGCATTCACTTTTAGACTCCTGTGAGGAGAAGTTGCCTTCGCTTTTGTAAGACTTCCTCCTCTGATGTGCTATTCTAATGCTACGTACACACTACTTTGTAAGCTATATTTGACAAAAGAAATATCATCACCTGGGAATGTAATAATGAGGTGCTGCATTTTGTTATGCTGTCGTTTTTTAACTGTTCTCTCTCTCTTGCCTCTAATGGAAATGGCATCACTGGACAAGAGTGAAGGCTTTTCAAGATTTAACCTTATGGCTCATATAGTGTGATATACAGTATAGGATAGGAATATAATGCTTACTTGCAGAGAAAAAAAACCCGCTCAATTTCATTCAGAGACCCAAACTGAGTAAAAAATATGCAATATGGTGCAGATGCTGCTGTTTATGTGGTGAGAAAATAAGATGAAATGCCGATGCCTGTTATGTAAAGCAATGAGATATTTATAACAGTATGGAAGATACTTACATAAAATGATAGAAATATCAGTCATCACTCTATATCTTGAATAATATGTCTTAGTAAGATGATATTTAAATGATCAAAACATATTGCAATGCAATACAGAGATGAACAAATAAACATTCCTCAAAAGCCTGATGATCATATTTGAGACTCACTGATTTTTCTAAAAACTTATGTCTGGATGATCAAGTAAAGCTAAGCTTTTTCAGTAAGTAATATTACTAACAATATCAAAGGTATTCTTATGTTTACTTTATAAAAATCAGTAATGATTTCACAGCAAAAACACGCGTTTAGCATGAGCTGAAGGGTGCGTTTGTACAATTATACTAAAAGAATAAAAAATGCCTGCATTTTTCGTGGCTGTCAGTCCGGAACTCTGTGGCATGAATTCATTAAAGTGTTGCATAACTTATAAACACACGCAAACTTCTTATATACTAGTCACCCAAATGTTAAATAAGGATTATTACATATTTTTCACAAATGGCAGAATTAGAAACAGCACGTCAACTGAATTCAGTGTCAAAAACATTGTTTAAGGACATTTTCTTGTGATCTCAGCAGCAGAAATTCACTACAGCGTGATGAAATGATGGAGAAAAGCGTTCTAACAGACGTGCAGCGCAGTCGGCTCATGCTCAGCTTTCACAGGTGTCTGGATCACGGTCGATCACAAGTCATTGTTGTAGCGGTATACGGGCTCGTCCCTCCTCCAATTTGACAGGCAGGTGCAGGAACTAATTTTCCCTCTAACCAGGACAAATCAATATGTTCAGCATCGCAATCCTCTCTCAACATCACCTAAATGACCTCTTTTCATTTGAAAGAATTAAATCCACCTGGAACTGTAAGGAAATCATGCAAACGACATGTTTGCGCCAGGAAGCGTCCACTGCAGCAGAATGCTAATGGACACAAGCGTTCAAGTCATTTGCTTAAGCCGTCGAGCATCAGCGTGATCTGCTTAGACTGCCGTCAGCACACCAACACTGTTATTTGCAAGCTAGCTGTGAAATGACTGATCTGAAAGCCAGACTGTTATTGACCCGAGGTCAGTCGGAGACATTTGCGATGTCTGATCCGTTCTTGTTTGCGCACTTCAGACGGACCATTCATCAAATGATCAAATGGCTCATCAAGACAAGTCATCTTACTTTTATTTCTAGAGTGCTCTATACAATACAGAGTGTGTCAAAGCAGCTTTAGAGTAAGAAACAGGAAAATAACACAAGCAATGATGGAAAATAGGGTGGCACAATAAATCACATTTTAATCGCGATCTTGATTTCTGCTGCTTTCGATTTGATAATTCTTTCCCCGCCATTAACAGAATTTTTTCTTGCCATGTTTTCACTGTTATACGGTAGGGGGCGCTATTACACATCTTCTGAAAGAGTACAGAATCTCTAACAAAACACAGGCGAAGAAGAAGCACAAACAAGTGATCGCGTATGTAAGCAGATGCATATGTAAAATAATGCGACCATCAAACATTAACAGCATATACTGTTATTCAAAACTGCCTAATGTTACAAAATGAAATGTCAAGCCAGAAAGTGAAGCTTTAGGACTGTGAAGCTTTAGAGGTGTTAATGAACTCTATCTATTCCATCAGTGTTTTGTTTATTGTTCTGAATCCTGTCTGGACATAGTCTTTTTTTTTTTTCTTTACCCACATTCAAGTAATTAACCTTCATAAGCTTTCATGATTGCGGTTGCCACATGTCAAGATTTTAAATTCCCCAATCAGAGCATTTCTTTTGAATCAATACATTTTCTGTCCATTGGTTTACTTCATCTTCCCAAACCTGGCAACCGATCTCTATCGAAATATTCTGCTCAAAAGGTTTGCTGTTTGCTGCACCTAAATCTGGAAGCAAATCATGCGAATGGACATTCTCTTGATTTATGCTTATGTGAAAGTGCAATAATTCAGATGAAATGCAAATAAAAATCAAAAATCTAATTCTAAAATAGATTATTAATCATGTTTTTTTAATCAAAATAATCATGATTAACAGATTTACAATTATTGTGTAGCCCTAGAATCTCAACTATTGAGACAATTCAGATTCTGTTTGAAATTTCAATCGGTTTGGCCATTTTTATTCCCTTGGAGGTGTGTACGTAAAGCATTTTCATTCAGCTTGGATTTTTCAACCGATTGTAACCAGAAAACAATGCTCCATGTAAATGCATCTAGTGTTGCAAACAAACAGATCTATGCTTTGATAGTGCCTAGTAATGAGAAGATTGGATCATTTTACCGACTCAGATGTTTAAATCTCATTCAGCAAAATGAACAAATCTTTATTCAAGTCTCCTAGTCCAGGAGCTTGTCTTCCTCAAAAGAAAGCTCGTTCTAAATCAGATACAGATAAAGTAGCACAGTAAAGATTACTTTCATATGAATGCATTAGTGAGAGCGATTGCGTGTGTGAATGAATTCTACCTGGCAGCATCTCTCTACTAGTAGTGAAGCCGTTGGATTTAGTTATTAAGAAATAAATTATAGAACATTTCAGTTTCTAAGCTATTTTATTGAGAAATCACAGAACCTTGTTGACAATACATTTCTGCGCTGAATGATTCTGTGCGTGCGCGATGTGTGCGTGATGTACGAGCTACTGTCAGCAGCGCATTAGATTAGAACGGCGATTAACTTACCTGCACAATAAGCTGTTTAAAACGTGCATTCTCCTGTTCAATTTCGAGCATCCAGTAATATAATCACACATGTCTTGTGGAGTGCTTTTGGAGTATGCATTTATTTGTCATTTTAACTGTTTGGAAATGGAGCGTAAATGTGTAAGTCCTTCAAAGATTTCTTATCCTGTTGTGCCTTCTATAGGACCAGTGACTAGTCGGTGTCAAGCTTAAAGCATCATGGCAGAGCACTGAAGTCGACTAGTCGATTAGTCGGTGCAACCCCTACTCCAGAGTCATAAAGAATTCATTCAAAATGAACGAATCACTCATGATCAACACATCGCTGTTGTCACAGGGAGACATCCTAATAATAGCATATTAAACTGAGACAGCAGAAAGTATTTTGACATTCCAACACCTTAATAAATTACAAATCATTTTTCAAGTAATACATGTAAATGCATGGGCTAACTAAATTGCAATAATGGTGTTTTGTCTCACAGAGGTCGTTCAGCTCAGTCTAGCTGATGACAAGCGTCTGAGCATCACAACAGTGACCGTAGGCCTGAGCGCCGTGATGTCCTGCGCCATTCAGGGCACCCTGAGACCACCCATCATCTGGAAGAGAAACGGCATCATCCTCAACTTCCTGGATCTGGAGGATATAAATGTGAGTACTTCCATATCACACTGTTGAACATCACCATTATGTCTAAAAATGAAGATGCCCCAATAGCATTGTATGTAATTTAAGAGGGTTTTGAAGTCGACATGAATAATCACTGCTAGAATATTAACCCTGGTCTCCCTGCATGAAATACTGACCGGTATTCTTATGGTTTATGTAGATCTCAGGAAGCACATGTTTTGGTTGGCTGACAAAAGATTCATGTATTTGAATTGCTTATAAAATTTCAATCCATTTAGACTGCAAAGTTTAAACATAAACTAATAAACTTGACGTGATTCATATTTGTCAAACATACATAAATGTAACATACAAAAAAGCAGTTAAGAAGCAGGCGAGATTTCAGTAATAGTACTCATAAATGTAATGTTTTAAATACACATTAACTAGGATTATATATTTATCATCGATAAATCCAAATTGGTTTCAAACTCACATTTTAAATATTTTAACTCCTTAAATATTGCTTGTTTCACAGATCTGTACCAATTAATAATGCACGTGTTTTCACAATGTAATTTAATTTACAATTTATTTTAATCATTTAAATATGTGACCCTGGAGCACAAAAGCAGTCAAATGTACACTTAAGACTGGTTTTGTGGTCCAGGGTCACATATAATTTTATGTTTTAAATAAAATCAAATACTGCAGATGCAAAGATGTATTTACTTATTTGTTTGTTTGTTTTTATTTTTAATTTTTTAATGCAGACATTTTACCACTACTTCAACTGGCTTCAAGTGTCATCAACAAATTGTCATGGAAGAAATTTTTTAACACCAAAAAAAAATAATTTTTTTTTCATATTATTAATAATAAATATAAAAATAATAATAAAAAGTGTGAGTTCCATATTAGAAAGCATAACTTCAAAGCTAAAGTCACTAGCATCACCAAACTGAGCTGCACAAATAATGACACAGTTCTGCTTCCTGCCATGATTTTTTGAGCGCAGAAATCAGACTTGTTTCATTTATGTATGATTGACAAATATGCATCACATTACGTTTATTACTTTGTTAAAAATGTGTAATCCAAATGTTTGGATATTTTATGTGTAATTCAAATACATAAATCTTAAATGTAGGCCCATTCATATGCTTATTGCGAAAGCACAGCTTGGTAATATGCATCCTGCGTGACGTGAGGCATTCACAGTATTCTGGATTATAAGGGAATGTTGTGCTCAGAACATCTTCTCAAGGTGAGGAACCCTGCAGAGCTTCTTTCCCGATGTAAAATGCTTACATCCTCCTGTTAATTGGGCAGCTGCTGAATATCTGATAACCTTCCAGAACACAAAGCTCAGTCAGGGCCCAGTTGCATTGATTTTCACCAATTAATCAGTATGTTTGAGAATAGAAGCTCATGCCAACACAAATTACAAATGTTAATGTTCATTATCAGGACACATGCTCGGTAATCTGAGGCACGCTTTCTATTTCCAATTACTAACCATATTTGTGTTCCTGCACTTCATATCAGGATGTAATTGGAAATAACATAATGATCGTGGTCTCAGGAGTTGGGCCAGGAGCCGTGCTGATTTCAAAGGACTGCAAATCATGTGTAGATTTTGAGCAGCAGACATGCTCAGGGTGGGAATGGGTAGTGTTTAATGAGGTGTGTCACGCTTGTGTTTAGCTCACCTGCGTTCCTGACAGCATGGGGTTGTGTTTACGCGCTCGCTCATTACAATACTCTAATTGCATGTTAATGAAGTGTTTGTTGAATGTTGCAACACTTACCCAGTCAACGACGACTCGCGGGTCAACGAGAACGAGCACCGGCGAATGACGCTCCACCGTTCAGCTTCATAAGCAGCCGCAGAGAGAATCAGAAGACCGACACGGTCCAGACAAACAGGGAAACTAAATAAATACATGATTGTGTCTTGCGCCAGAAAACCGAAACATCAGCATGTGTAATTGTGTTTTGATTGTGAGGAATAGGTCTTTTACATTGATTGTCTCTGATTCCTCAGACGGATAATGTATACATTCCCAGGAGAAAAGATGAGTTTATTCTAAATGATTTCTCACTGTTGACTTATCTTTAAAACTGAGGCATATGGTGCAGTTTATAGCTGTATAGTAATTTGGGGGCATTCAGTATTTGTCGGTTTCTGTCGCACTTGTCAATATAGCAGTTCACACAGTGAATCGTTGATTTCAGTGGGATGGTGCATGATGAGCAGTGTTGGGAAAAGTTACTTTTAAAAGTAATGCATTACAATATTGCGTTTCTCCATAAAATAGTAACTAATTATGTTACTTAGTTACTTTTTAGGGAAATAAATGCATTATGTTACTTTTGTGTTATTTTTTGGTCACCTGAGCTGGGTTTGCTAATTTATTTTTAGTTACAAATAAACCCAGAAGTTATATTTTTGGCAACTGTAAGGCCCAAAACTTCACACTAAACGTGAAGTTAATAAGCCTCAGTCTGAAGGAAGTGCCTCTGCACCTCACTCCCAATTTCTCTCAACATGGGGACAGGAGAGGTGTTAGTGAATAAATGGGAAAACAAAGTAACTTGTGTTTCTTATTTGAAAAAGTAACAGATATTTCATTGTAAGTTTAAAAGTAATGCGGTACTTTACTAGTAACTTGGAAAAGTAACCTGATTACGTAACTTGCATTACTTGCAATGTGTTACCCCCAACACTGGTCACGAGGATGTAGTGGAAAACGTCTCAGGTTACTTATGTAACCATGGTTCCCTGAGTAGGGAACGAGACACTGCGTCCTCTAGGGGTCGCTATGGGGAACGCCTCGTCGTGACCCGTGTCTGAAGCATACATTGAAAAAACACCAACAACACGTTGGCCGGCGACAGCCCATGACATCACTACCGGTGTGATTATAGTATAAATAGGCGCCGGGAGAACATGTCATTCACTTCTTCGTCTTCACTGACCGTTTTGTTTGAAGCGTGCATTTCCATGGTTGTTGGTGTTTTTTCAATGTATGCTTCAGACACGGGTCACAATGAGGCGTTCCCCATAGCGACCCCTAGAGGACGCAGTTCAAAGTTCCCTTGAAAGGGAACCTTGAATTGGCAATTTGTAACTTTTGCACCGTTGACCACTGAGAAGTTCACACTGGTGAGTTCAGTGGTGCATTTGTATGTCATTGATTTAGACATATTTATACACAGTACTATTCATTTCTCTATGTGTAAAACCTTGTTAATAGAAAAGCGAGTTTACCGTCACACATTTTTCTTTCATTCCTATCCTTTGAATGAGGAAAGCATCTGACCCTACTGTCTCTGTATGAAGGAAAAAATGCTAAAGCACCGGCAGAATGAGAGCTTCAGTTTAAGACAACCTGAGGCAAAGTCTGGAGATAACTGTTTTCAATGTCTCTTAAAACTTTATTTAAAGTGCCTGTATATTTTTATATTGAAGCAGTGAAGGTTTTTTTTTTCTGAACCCATGATTAAAGTTTCTAAGGATTAATTTCAGTCCATACATTTCTTTCATTTTCTTAAATTTTGTTTCATAATCATTTATCATTTGCCATTTATGTAATTTGATTTATATTATTTATCATTGTTATTTTTATTGTACTTTTACATTTTATATTACTTATTACTTTCCTTGCTCTTGCAGTGCTTGCTTTTGTTATTTAATCTTATGATTGCAGAGTTTCATGGAGTGTAAATAAGAGATAAGAGAGAATATTGCAATTTCAAGGTTTTATGAGATGGGATGTTGATGTGAAGTAGTTTAATATAGTAACACTTCTTGGATTTGTGCTGAAACTAAGATTAATTCATTTTTATCAACATCACTTCATCTCCTGCTTCTGCTCTTCTCTAGATTTCTCAGTCAACTTCTTGGCTGATAGACGGCTGTTAATACAGTTTTGGGTACCAGCCAAGTCTTGCTATTTAGGGGTTTTGGGTATTAGATAAAACTTTGCTGTCTGGGTTTGGGATATGAAACAAAACGGATATCTTGTGGCAGAAACTGGCATCCGGGCTCGGATTTGAAATTTCTGACATGGAGAGGGTCTTCTTTCCCTGCTGATTCTGCCAAGCCCGTTCTCTTGGCTGTGCTTTCGCTAGATCGCAGGTAGGGACAGTGGGAATCTCGTTCATCCATTCATGCGCGTCACTAATTAGATGACAAGGCATTTGGCTATTTACAACACGTTTTCAAGTCATTCTGTCCCTTGTGGTGATTGACTTCCACAGACGCTTGAAGCACCTTAAAACATGCTAGGCAGTTAGTTGTGGCAAGGCTTTTGCGGGTCATATTTGCTTCATAAGTCTTTTTTGGTTCTAGGTTCCATGGGTGTACACGTCGTAGCATTTGAGTGATTCGGCGATTGTTAGCAGACATAGATCCGAGAGGTCTCTAGCAGTCAGACCCATTGCCCAAAGTCCCCTTCCACTAGGACCATACATCAGTCCTCGGCTTGATATGATGATCGGGAGATGCTTTAGTGGGGTGCCAGTTCCCATCCAAGCTCGTATAGCCGTGGAATTCTCCCGGAAGCCATATTTCTCGATTTTCAGTTTATGGCTCTGCTCCATCCGGGGGTTTGCTACTGTGAATATGTCTAGGATTGTGGCATGCTGTCCTCTGTCCTGTGTCCACTATCAGATCAGGTTTTATGAAGCTTCTCTCGGTGGGTAAAATTGGCTCGATCCATGTTTGGGCTCCATTCTTTCTCAGCATCCTCTCTATTTTCTTTGTGATCCGATTGTGATGGGCGCATCTGGCATCATGAGTTATTTCGCAGATCTGAAGTATGTGATTGCCTCAATCTCCTGGCCCATGCTGTCTTTCGCGTGGCAGGCCCCACGACACTTTAGCTCATCAGGGGACTTCTCCCTTCCTCTGGAGGCTCTTACTTTTGTATTGAGTACACCTCCACGGAGCTGGATTCCCCTGAGTTGTAGTCTGGTGAAGACTTTACTGGGCTTGCATACCCAGTGGTAACTCGCTGAGTCAATGTCGTCCATTG